GCTGCTACATGGCTGCTGCATGGCTGCTGCATGGCTGTGTATAGTTGCTGCATGGCTGTGTATAGCTGCTACAAGGCTGCTGCATTGCTGTGTATAGCTGCTACATGGCTGCTGCATGGTTGTGTATAACTGCTACATGGCCGCTACATGGCTGCTACATGGCTGCTGCATGGCTGCTGCATGGCTGCTGCATGGCTGTGTATAACTGCTACATGGCCGCTACATGGCTGCTACATGGCTGCTGCATGGCTGCTGCATGGCTGTGTATAGCTGGTACATGGCTGGTACATGGCTGCTGCATGGCTGTGTATAGCTGCTACATGGCTGCTGCATGGCTGCTGCATGGCTGCTGCATGGCTGTGTATAGCTGCTACATGGCTGCTGCATGGCTGCTGCATGGCTGCTGCATGGCTGTGTATAGCTGCTACATGGCTGCTGCATGGCTGCTACATGGCTGCTGCATGGCTGCTGCATGGCTGCTGCATGGCTGTGTATAGCTGCTACATGGCTGCTGCATGGCTGTGTATAACTGCTACATGGCTGCTACAAGGCTGCTGCATGGCTGTGTATAGTTGCTGCATGGCTGCTGCATGGCTGCTGCATGGCTGCTGCATGGCTGTGTATAGTTGCTACATGGCTGCTACATGGCTGCTGCATGGCTGTGTATAGCTGCTACATGGCTGCTACAAGGCTGCTGCATGGCTGTGTATAGCTGCTACATGGCTGCTACATGGCTGCTGCATGGCTGTGTATAGTTGCTACATGGCTGCTACATGGCTGCTGCATGGCTGTGTATAGTTGCTACATGGCTGCTGCATGGCTGTGTATAGTTGCTACATGGCTGCTACATGGCTGCTGCATGGCTGCGTATAGCTGCTACATGGCTGCTGCATGGCTGTGTATAGCTGCTACATGGCTGCTGCATGGCTGCGTATAGCTGCTACATGGCTGCTGCATGGCTGTGTATAGCTGTTACATGGCTGCTGCATGGCTGTGTATAGCTGTTACATGGCTGCTACATGGCTGCTGGATGGCTGCTGCATGGCTGCTACATGGCTGCAACATGGCTGCTGCATGGCTGCTGCATGGCTACGTATAGCTGCTACATGGCTGCTACATGGCTGCTGCATGGCTGCGTATAGTTGCTACATGGCTGCTACATGGCTGTGTATAGCTGCTACAAGGCTGCTGCATTGCTGTGTATAGTTGCTACATGGCTGCTGCATGGCTGTGTATAGCTGCTACATGGCTGCTACATGGCTGCTGCATGGCTGCGTATAGCTGCTACATGGCTGCTACAAGGCTGCTGCATGGCTGTGTATAGCTGCTGCATGGCTGCTGCATGGCTGCTGCATGGCTGTGTATAGTTGCTACATGGCTGTGTATAGCTGCTGCATGGCTGCTGCATGGCTGCTGCATGGCTGTGTATAGTTGCTACATGGCTGCTACATGGCTGCTGCATGGCTGTGTATAGCTGCTACATGGCTGCTACATGGCTGCTGCATGGCTGCGTATAGTTGCTACAAGGCTGCTGCATGGCTGTGTATAGCTGCTACAAGGCTGCTGCATTGCTGTGTATAGTTGCTACATGGCTGCTGCATGGCTGTGTATAGCTGCTACATGGCTGCTACATGGCTGCTGCATGGCTGCGTATAGCTGCTACATGGCTGCTACAAGGCTGCTGCATGGCTGTGTATAGCTGCTGCATGGCTGCTGCATGGCTGCTGCATGGCTGTGTATAGTTGCTACATGGCTGTGTATAGCTGCTACATGGCTGCTACATGGCTGCTGCATGGCTGTGTATAGTTGCTACATGGCTGCTACATGGCTGCTGCATGGCTGTGTATAGCTGCTACATGGCTGCTACATGGCTGCTGCATGGCTGCGTATAGTTGCTACAAGGCTGCTGCATGGCTGTGTATAGTTGCTACATGGCTGCTACATGGCTGCTGCATGGCTGCTGCATGGCTGTGTATAGCTGCTACATGGCTGCTACAAGGCTGCTGCATGGCTGTGTATAGTTGCTACATGGCTGCTACATGGCTGCTGCATGGCTGTGTATAGCTGCTACATGGCTGTGTATAGCTGCTACATAGCTGTGTATAGCTGCTACATGGCTGCTGCATGGCTGTGTATAGCTGTGTATAGCTGTGTATAGCTGCTACATGGCTGCTGCATGGCTGCTGCATGGCTGCTACAAGGCTGCTGCATGGCTGCTACATGGCTTTGTATAGCTGCTACATGGCTGCTGAATGGCTGTGGATAGCTGCTACATGGCTGCTGCATGGCTGTGGAAAGCTGCTACATGGCTGCTCCATGGCTGTGGATAGCTGCTACAAGGCTGCTGCATGGCTGTGTATAGTTGCTGCATGGCTGCTACAAGGCTGCTGCATGGCTGTGTATAGTTGCTACATGGCTGCTACAAGGCTGCTGCATGGCTGTGGATAGCTGCTACATGGCTGCTGTATGGCTGCGTATAGCTGCTACATGGCTGCTGCATGGCTGTGTATAGCTTCTACAAGGCTGCTGCATTGCTGTGTATAGCTGCTACATGGCTGCTGCATGGCTGTGTATAGCTGCTACATGGCTGCTACAAGGCTGCTGCATGGCTGCTGCATGGCTGTGTATAGTTGCTACATGGCTGCTACAAGGCTGCTGGATGGCTGCTGCATGGCTGCTGGATGGCTGCTACATGGCTGTGTATAGCTGCTACAAGGCTGTTACATGGCTGCTACATGGCTGTGTATAGTTGCTACATGGCTGCTGCATGGCTGCTGCATGGCTGTGTATAGTTTCTACATGGCTGCTACATGGCTGCTGGATGGCTGCTACATGGCTGTGTATAGCTGCTACAAGGCTGTTACATGGCTGCTACATGGCTGTGTATAGTTGCTACATGGCTGCTGCATGGCTGCTGCATGGCTGTGTATAGTTGCTACATGGCTGCTACATGGCTGCTGGATGGCTGCTGCATGGCTGTGTATAGCTGCTACAAGGCTGTTACATGGCTGCTACATGGCTGTGTATAGTTGCTACATGGCTGCTGCATGGCTGCTGCATGGCTGTGTATAGTTGCTACATGGCTGCTACATGGCTGCTGGATGGCTGCTGCATGGCTGCTGGATGGCTGCTACATGGCTGTGTATAGCTGCTACAAGGCTGTTACATGGCTGCTACATGGCTGTGTATAGTTGCTACATGGCTGCTGCATGGCTGCTGCATGGCTGTGTATAGTTGCTACATGGCTGCTACATGGCTGCTGGATGGCTGCTGCATGGCTGCTACATGGCTGCTGCATGGCTGCTGCATGGGTGTGTATAGCTGCTACATGGCTGCTACATGGCTGCTGCATGGCTGCGTATAGTTGCTACATGGCTGCTACATGGCTGCTGGATGGCTGCTGCATGGCTGCTGGATGGCTGCTGCATGGCTGTGTATAGTTGCTACATGGCTGCTGCATGGCTGTGTATAGCTGCTACAAGGCTGTTACATGGCTGCTACATGGCTGTGTATAGTTGCTACATGGCTGCTGCATGGCTGCTACATGGCTGTGTATAGTTGCTACATGGCTGCTACATGGCTGCTGGATGGCTGCTACATGGCTGTGTATAGCTGCTACAAGGCTGTTACATGGCTGCTACATGGCTGTGTATAGTTGCTACATGGCTGCTGCATGGCTGCTGCATGGCTGTGTATAGTTGCTACATGGCTGCTACATGGCTGCTGGATGGCTGCTGCATGGCTGCTGCATGGCTGTGTATAGCTGCTACAAGGCTGTTACATGGCTGCTACATGGCTGTGTATAGTTGCTACATGGCTGCTGCATGGCTGCTGCATGGCTGTGTATAGTTGCTACATGGCTGCTACATGGCTGCTGGATGGCTGCTGCATGGCTGCTGGATGGCTGCTACATGGCTGTGTATAGCTGCTACAAGGCTGTTACATGGCTGCTACATGGCTGTGTATAGTTGCTACATGGCTGCTGCATGGCTGCTGCATGGCTGTGTATAGTTGCTACATGGCTGCTACATGGCTGCTGGATGGCTGCTGCATGGCTGCTACATGGCTGCTGCATGGCTGCTGCATGGGTGTGTATAGCTGCTACATGGCTGCTACATGGCTGCTGCATGGCTGCGTATAGTTGCTACATGGCTGCTACATGGCTGCTGGATGGCTGCTGCATGGCTGCTGGATGGCTGCTGCATGGCTGTGTATAGTTGCTACATGGCTGCTGCATGGCTGTGTATAGCTGCTACATGGCTGCTGCATGGCTGTGTATAACTGCTACATGGCTGCTGGATGGCTGCTGCATGGCTGTGTATAGCTGCTGCATGGCTGCTGCATGGCTGCTGGATGGCGGCTGCATGGCTGCTGCATGGCTGCTGCATGGCTGCTGCATGGCTGCTACATGGCTGCTACATGGCTGCTGCATGGCTGCTGGATGGCGGCTGCATGGCTGCTGCATGGCTGCTACATGGCTGCTGCATGGCTGCTGCATGGCTGTGTATAGCTGCTACATGGCTGCTGCATGGCTGTGTATAGCTGCTACATGGCTGCTACATGGCTGCTACATGGCTGTGTATAGCTGCTACATGGCTGCTACGTGGCTGCTACATGGCTGTGTATAATTGCTACATGGCTGCTGGATGGCTGCTGCATGGCTGTGTATAGCTGCTACATGGCTGCTGCATGGCTGCTGGATGGCGGCTGCATGGCTGCTGCATGGCTGCTACATGGCTGCTGCATGGCTGCTGCATGGCTGCTACGTGGCTGCTACATGGCTGCTACATGGCTGCTGCATGGCTGCTGCATGGCTGCTATGTGGCTGCTGCATGGCTGCTGCATGGCTGCTGCATGGCTGTGTATAGCTGCTACATGGCTGCTACGTGGCTGCTACATGGCTGTGTATAGCTGCTACATTGCTAAAACACTGATTGTCTCATTGACGGTCGCCTCATTGCATTCAGTCAGGACACACTGAAAGACAAAATATCTCATACCTTTCTTTGATTTGTTTTGCAGCCTGTAAGAGAAAACAGATAAAATTCACCTTAAATAGGGGAGTTGTAATGGGGCAGTGGAAAAGACACATTCCTTTGGTGGGAGAGACCTGGGTTCAATCCCCCACTGTGACACATCCACCATTGTGTCCCTGAGCAAGACACTTAACGCCTAGTTGCTCCAGAGGCGTGCGACCTCTGATATACATAGCAATTGTAAGTCGCTTTGGATAAAAGCATCATCTAAATGAATTTTTTTGCTTGTTACTACTTTTTTTTTACGCTTAATAGTGAATGAATCATGATTTCAGACACTTTGTATTTCTTCATCTTCCCCCAATCCTACCTTTAGGAATTCTTCTTCGTTGGTGATGGTCAGCGTTTGATTTGCAAACTCAAGCAGTTCTTCACACGACAGCAGAGCAAACTTTCCCTCCGACAGCTGCTTCTGAAAATCACAAACAAGTCTGATAAGTACTATAGAAAACTAACTAATGAATGAACTATCAGAGAACACCTGAGTTCATTGAAGCAGCTATGTTCTCAGTTGGTAGAGTGGATCATCCACTGATCACAGGATTAGTGGTTCGATTCCCCGGCTCCTCCTGACTACATGTCAAAGTGTCTTTGGGCCAGACACTGAACCCTGGACTGATCCTGACGGTCAGACCAGCAGCTTGGTGCCATTAGTGAGTGATTCTAGATAAGTGTTATTTAAATGTGCTAGAAATTAAAAATACCTTGAGTGGGAAAATGAGAAATTATTTTCTTTCTGCAAATTTAATAATTTTCTTTCAATGTTCTCCTTTTATAATATTAGAACATAAAATATTAAAATTTTAAAGGTTTTCTAACACATTAAAAATATTTACTTTGCCTCAAGTTTGACATGTCATTAGTAATTCATATCTTTTAACTCCTACATAAAATGCATTCTGATCCCTACATAATTTTAAAATAAGATAACAAACAGAAGTTTAAAAAAATATAATCAAACAACCAAATCAACAAAATGAAAAAAGTTTAAGTTAAACAAAAGCTTCTTTACATGAAGCTCCGCCTCTTTCCTCTGCTTCTCCTCTTTAATGATGCCACAAAGCTCTGCCTCCTTCTCCTCTAGGGCGGAGCGGAGCTGCTCAAGTTCCGCCTCCAGCTCTGACATCACCTTACATGACTCCACCTGATTGGACAAACAAAGTTTACTTAAGTTTTTATTTATTATTTTTTTCTCTCCCTCCTCTCAAAGCCCTGTCAGCCAATCAGCTGCTGACCTGCAGTCCAGTCAGTGTGTTGTCAACTGTTTCCAGGAAGTTTTGGAGTTCTTCGTTCTTATTGGTTAATGTGCTGATGATCCTGCGAAGAGCTTCCTGTTTAACACACAAACATATGTTTTTTAGTTTAAAAACAAAATTCAGTTTTTTTGAAGTGTAACAGATTTGATTTTAAGAATGTAACACATGCTGTAGTTTAACTGTGCTGTAGTTTAACTGTGCTGTAGTTTGACAGTGTTGTTTGACAGTGTTGTTTGACAGTGTTGTTTGACAGGGTAGTAGTTTGACAGTGCTATAGTTTAACTGTGTAGTAGTTTGACAGTGCAGTACAGTAGTTTGACAGTGCAGTGCGGTAGTTTGACAGTGCAGTGCAGTAGTTTGACAGTGCAGTGCAGTAGTTTGACAGTGTAGTAGTTTGACAGTGCAGTACAATAGTTTGAATATGCAGTGCAGTAGTCTGGCAGTGCAGTAGTTTGACAGTGCAGTGCGGTAGTTTGACAGTGCAGTGCAGTAGTTTGGCAGTGCAGTGCAGTAGTTTGACAGTGCAGTGCGGTAGTTTGACAGTGCAGTGCAGTAGTTTGGCAGTGCAGTGCGGTAGTTTGACAGTGTAGTAGTTTGACAGTGCAGTACAATAGTTTGAATATGCAGTGCAGTAGTCTGGCAGTGCAGTAGTTTGACAGTGCAGTGCGGTAGTTTGACAGTGCAGTGCAGTAGTTTGACAGTACAGTGCGGTAGTTTGACAGTGTAGTAGTTTGACAGTGCAGTACAATAGTTTGAATATGCAGTGCAGTAGTCTGACAGTGCAGTGCGGTAGTTTAACAGTGTAGTAGTTTGACAGTGCAGTGCGGTAGTTTGACAGTGTAGTAGTTTGACAGTGCAGTACAATAGTTTGACAATGCAAAGCAGGAGTTTAACAGTGCAGTAGTTTGACAGTGCAGTGCATATCTGCCTGTATCATGTGGTTGTATTTGCATATGTGTGTCTTGTACATGAAGCACTGTGTAACTGAACTGTGATTAAAATTAAAAATAATAATTGTTATTAAACAGATGTGAGGCTTCAGGTAACAAACTACAGCTTTGTGTCTGCTGCAAGTGAGCTGTGTGTTTATCAGATCAGCAGCATCACTCAGGTGTGACCTGACGCACTCACAGCTGTGACAAGGTGCACCTTGATGCCAGGTGTGCGCATGCTCAGAGAGAGGGAGACAGAGAGAGAGTGAGAGAGAGACCTGCAGAGACAAACACCTAAACTGTATTTAAATAATTTTATTCAGACTGATTCTGACTCGACCAGAGAGGGGGGGGGGGGGGGGGGGGGTGGAGGCTGCTAACAGCTAGCAGCTAGCTAATCCTCTCTCTCTTTCTCTGTCTGTGTCTCTGTCCGCCGACAATCGGATAATATCGATCATGGATTGATCAGAGTCTTACCTTCTGAGTGTCCATCACCTGAGAGAGAGAGACAGAGACAGAGACAGAGAGAGAGAGAGAGAGAGAGAGAGAGAGAGGGGAGACCAGAGGGGGACGGAGCCACTGACTGGAAGTGACTTCACAATACACGTCATCACACACCCACTTCCGGCCTGGAGTGTCAAAATAAGAATCGTAAAATAAGTAAAGTTGGCCCATAAAAGAGAGGTTTACAGGAGATCGTTTTTGCCTTTGTTGTGTTTTTATTCTTATTTTCTCGTATTTTGTTGTGTTTGGTTAGTGTTTATGCTGCTAAACAGAAGTTCATTGTTGTGAGCACAATCACATCAAATATACACGGTATTGTGTGTATTTATATAAAGTACTGTACATGCACTTTAGGCAGGTGTGGAGAAGATGCTATAAAGTAAGAATACTTCTACTTTGCGGTACTTTTACCTCAGTAAATAATCCGAGTAGTTTACACATGCGCGCGCACACAGACACAAGATGGCGGACCGCGGCAGCAGCAGTTTCTCCACAACAAAAAGGCCGATGTAAAAGTTCTCCCGGACTTTGGTAAACTCCACTTTCCCATTCTGACCGGAGACATGAGCGGCCTCTGCCGCCTCTAACGCCTCGTTTAACGGCCGCCGGTGTTTCCCCGGTGATGTCCGCGTGAATCCGCCGACCGAAGAGGATATTAGTCATTTTCTCAAAACTGGCAAGGTAAGAACGGCCGTGCGGTTAGCTTAGCTTCATGCTAACTGTTTGTTTTGGTTGGAGGTCGGTGTTTGGACGGGTCTGTGGGCAGACCGGGGCCGGGTACCGGGTTTAACCGGAGCTGGAGGAGGAACGCGGTGTTTGTGGAACCGACTGGCTGTGGATGTTTCTGGGTGTGTTGTGCTAAAGTGACGGTAAAGTAACGTTAGCGGGTCAGCCACAGCCGGACTGTTAGCTAACGTTAGCTAACTGCTATGGTCACAGGGCATGTACACGGATACTGTGTACTACTACAGTAGTATTACAGATACTAATACTGCCTACTGTTACAGCACAACACTACTGCAGTAACGTTACTACAAATACTAATGCCTACTGTTACAGTACAACACTACTGCAGTGCTACAAATACTAACACTGCCTACTGTTACTGCAGAGTACTACTACATTCAATTCAGTTTTATTTATATAGCGCCAAATCACAACAACAGTTCTTTCACAGCGCTTTTCATAAAAGAGCAGGTCTAGACCGTACTCTATGATGCTATTTACAGAAGCCCAACAGTTCCCACCAAGAGCAAGCACTAGGCGACAGAGGCACGGAAAAACTTCCTTTAAGAGACAGAAACCTCGAGCAGAACCATGGCTCAGGGTGGGCGGCCATCTGCCTCGACTGGGGGGGAGGCGGTCCTTGAAATTTGCATGTCCTGATCAAAGATAACTCCAAGATTCCTCACAGTGGTGCTGGAGGCCAGGGCGATGCCATCAAGGGAAACTATATGTTTAGATAATGCGTCACGGAGGTGCTTAGGCCCCAGAGCAATAACTTCAGTTTTATCTGAGTTTAACATTAGAAAATTACAGGTCATCCAGGTTTTAACATCCTGAAGGCACATTTGAAGTTTAGCTAACTGAGTTTCATCTGGTTTGATCGATAGATATAACTGAGTATCATCTGCATAACAATGAAAGCTTATGGAATGTTTCCTGATAATATTGCCTAAAGGAAGCATATATAAAGTGAAGAGGATTGGTCCAAGGACAGATCCTTGAGGAACTCCATGAGTAACTTTGGCGTGCATGGAGGACTCATCGTTAACATGTACAAACTGAAATCGATCTGATAAATAGGACTTAAACCAGCTTAGAGCGGTCCTTTAATGCCAATGAAATGTTCCAGTCTCTGCAATAGGATCTGATGGTCAATGGTATCAAATGCAGCACTAAGATCTAATAAAACCAGTACAGAGACAAGTCCTTTGTCTGATGCAATAAGGAGGTCGTTAGTAATTTTCACCAGTGCTGTCTCTGTGCTATGATGAGCTCTAAATCCTGACTGAAAATCCTCAAATAAACTATTGCTCTGTAGAAAGTCACACAGCTGTTTAGCAACTTCTTTCTCCAGAACCTTAGAGAGAAATGGAAGGTTAGATATAGGTCTATAGTTGGCTAAAACATCCGGATCAAGTTTGGGCTTTTTCAGAAGAGCTTTAATTACAGCTACTTTAAAGTACTGTGGTACATAGCCTGTTGATAAAGATAGATTGATCATATCTAGTATATAAGTGCTGACTAAGGGTAAAACATCTAAGCAGCCTAGTCGGGATGGGGTCTAAGAGGCAGGTTGATGGTTTAGATGAAGAAATTATTGAAGTTAGTTGGTAAAGATTGAGGGAAGCAAAACAGTCTAAACATGTATCTGGTTCTACAGCTGTTTCTAAGGTTCCTGAGTTAAGAGATAAGTCGGTGCCAATTGAGGGCAGGTCTTGGTGAATTTTGTCTCTAATAGCTAGAATTTTATCATTAAAGAAGCTCAGGAAATGTAACTACTGAGAGCTATGGGAATACTTGGCTCAATAGAGCTGTGACTCTCTGTCAGCCTGGCTACAGTGCTGAAAAGAAACCTGGGGTTGTTCCTATTTTCCTCTATTAATGACGAGTAGTACGCTGCTCTGGCATTACGGAGGGCCTTCCTATAAGTTTTAAGACTATCTTGCCAAATTAAACGAGAATTTTCTACTTTGGTAGAACGCCAATTCCTCTCAGGTTTCCGTGATATTTGCTTTAATTTGCGAGTTTCAGTATTATACCATGGAGCTAACCGTCTTTGTTTTATTATTTTCTTTTTTAGAGGGGCTACAGAGTCGAGTGTCATTCGCAGCGAGCCTGCAGCACTATCAACAAGATGATCGATTTGGGAGGGACTGAAATTAGCATAGGAGTCCTCTGTTACTTTGTGACTAGATAATGTATTTAGAGCTGATGGAATCGCATCCTTAAATTTAGCTACAGCACTATCAGACAGACATCTTGTATAGAAATTTTTGCCCAATGGCGAGTAGTTCAGCAATACAAACTCAAAAGTTATCAAACAGTGGTCGGACAAAGAGGGATTCTGTGGGAACACCACTAAATGTTCAATTTCAATACCATACACCAAAACAAGGTCGAGGGTGTGGTTAAAACAGTGAGTCGGTTCATGAACACTCTGAGAGAAGCCAATGGAATCTAACAGAGATAAACGCAGTACTGAAGCTGTCATTCTCAACATCTACATGAATATTAAAATCCCTACAATAATAACTTTGTCCGTTTTAAGGACTAAAGTTGACAAAACTCTGCAAATTCAGATAAGAATTCAGAATACGGGCCAGGTACACTATAACGAAGAGAATTGGTTGCAGTGATTTCCAACTTGGGTGCGAAAGACTAAGAACAAGACTTTCAAATGAGTTATAGTTTAGTTTAGGTTTAGAG